ATGTTCCCCTACCTTCTGATAAGCCATCTGGAGATAGTTGTAGGGGATCCTCCTGTTGAAGTCCTGCACCACATCCTCACTGACTTTGTGCAAAGACTGCGTACCGAGTTTCTCCTCGATGCATTTGTTCATACACGCTGCTCTTCTGAGGACCACGTCGAAGAAGTGCATGTCCGAGAAGGTTTCATCAAACGCATGCTGGTCCTGGCACCTCAGCCGGCACCGGACTTTCGTGCGCCGGACGTCTCTGTAGCTGCTGAGCGCTCCTTCCATGTAGCGCACCACATTTTTATAGTCGTTGCTGTAAAATGCCTGCACCGCATTGTCATATAAAAGGTCGCAAGGTTCCAGAAAAGCTGTTGAGGTCGACAAGGCGACAATTAGCAGGACTACTGACAGAGCAGCAGCCGGTGGAGAGTTTCCATCCATCATCTGGCTCGGTTCAGACTAAGGAGCGGCTGTCAGACAGCTCAGCCTCGTCTCTGTCCATTTAAATGCTCCTAGCAGAGACGCTCAGGACGGCGAGCCGGAAATAATGTTGCTTTAGTCAAGGACACACATTTTGCAATGATCCCTCTCTGGCTCCGCTAACTCCTCCCTTCCGAGTAATGAATGGCCAGAATACGGGGGCTGGGGGGACCAGGGGCCCGTCCGGGAATTCCCTGGGTCGCTATAAACATCATATCTAATACTTTAATTTTACTTGATTTCACCACAAAACAAGGTGTCGCCACATACAGCAGAGCAAATGTTAAATATTCAACTTAGAAAATAAAAGCAATAAGCTTTTATTTAATAAGCTTATTGGCACCAAATACAATATTATACAAAAATATGACTATATAAAATTATTTTAATTCATATGGAGTAGTCACCTTTACAAATGCTTTTGTCCGTGTGTGTGTGTGTGTGTGTGTGTCGGGATCTGATTTGTGATTTTGGTCTCTATAGAGGATTTAGTTGATTTTTATCCATTTTGATTTATTCATCATATTTAATCAGGGTGCACTCTTCGTGTTAAATAAACAGGTAGTAAAGAAATGTCCGGTTTCAGATATTTGAACTGTAGTAAATACTGAGTCTGATGTTTACTCGTTTCGTTTTCACACCAGATACTGTGAGCTAAAGCTACTTGCTGTCTTTTGGAAGTTTCTTCCGTTACTTGAGGAGGTTCACCGTTTGTCGAGACAATGTCCACCTAAAGGAGACTGTCTCCCTCTTGAGGCCATTTCTTTTATTTGCAGGTTGATCACTGGACTATTGTAAAACTAAACGTTCAGTTCATTAAGAACAAAAACAGACATGAGTGAGTCTTAAATACAAATTAAATATTAGCCCACATCAACCTGTTAAGCAAGTATCCTATTAACCCTCTGAAACTACAGAGACCAGAGGTCAGGTCAAGCAAGTGAAGCACCTCTTATCAACTTACACACTGTAGATGCTTTACAGCGGTATAGACATATTTTATATGGATTTCTGTTATAATCTACATGAGTATTTAGTCCGAGTACAGACTTTTATTACCTACTTGGTGTGGTCATCTTATGTATCATGTCAAGCAAAAGCTTTCACACACGTCGTCTGAAAACTGTGCTACACGCGGGTCCCACCACTAGAGGGCAGACAATGCATGGAGACATTTTTTTAACTTCAGATGAAATGACATGTTTAGCAATACAAAAGTGTTATTGCAGTTTTTTTTACACCGAAATCCACCATACTAGACCTCAGCCGCAGCCTGTGCTGTGCGCCATTAAAAATTAACAATGTGAGTAAGTGAACGTGTAAGAGGATGCAGCAGATTTACATATACTCAGTAATGCTCTTTATTGTCAGGACAAATGCATTCGCATGTAATTGTAAAGACAACATATGTTTTACAATGCGGGCGTGATCTACTTAAATTTCTTTGTCATTCCTTAATTTTGATAGAATGGCAACAACAATGAAACTTTTGTGGAGATGATTTTATAATATTACATTTTTGTTCATAAGTATGTCCAACTGCAAAAAGAGAGGATTTAATGGATGTTAAGGAAACAAAACCAACTCAATGTGACTGGCTCTGCTTGCTTACTGTATACAGTTATCAAGTCCAGATGCTGCGCAGGTGCAAAACATATATTAGAAATGGACGCGAACAACAAGAATGTGATAATACAATGCAACACAACAGACTAGAACCTCAAAAATAATGACAGAGCTGACTCAACAGCTTAGTGCAGGTGTCACGCTGGGTGTTTTCATGTACCACTCACGTTCCACTCATGTACAGTACGAGTACAGTGTTGCTGAAATGAAGCTTCTACAAGAAAGACTGAGTGAGACTGAGTGTGTTTCTCAGTCTGTTGTGCTTTGGTCCCGAAGGTTTCATTATTGAAAACTGTGTGAACCTGTGCTATTTAGGCACATGGACAGTAAAGCTGTGGTCTGTTCGTGGATGCACAATGACAAAGCCTTCAAACCTAAAGTCCTCAGAACTAATTTAGTTGTGTTTAAGTTCATTCAGATGTAACAAGTATAGAAATAGATAGAAAAAAATCAAAGTCCTTTCAGTATAAAAACACACACCAGTACCACAAAAGTTTGAATTAGTACACAAACTGTTAGCTTGTTTCAGCAGTTACATTGCATACTACAGCCACAAAACAGCCACCATGCAGCTTTTTCCCAGAAGGTTCAGGAAATGTTGGTAAAAGTGCTGCAGCCCCATGAGAGATCCCACAATCATTTACATCCGCTAAGGGTACAGCACAGTCTCTTCCTAATTGTTGTGCTTCGACTGAACAGTGAGGCAATTTTTCCCAGCGGGTCATCAGGCTGTAAGATGTTTTTGTCAGGCTGCCATGGTCTAGCAGCAGGCTCTCAGGACGACTTACCAATCAATATTTTTAAAAGACCAAGTAGTCACAAGGCGTTCATTCACCCACCACACTCTGATTTAGTTTTATTGAGCAGACTTTCTAAGTTGTGTTGTGATCAGATCAGATCAGCTCAGCAAATACTGTATGTCTTAAATGTCAAACAATGTACGTTGATTTATTTAAATGTATCTTTCCAATTCTATGTCTTGTGTATCCTTAAAAATGTGAGAAGCCCTCCATTCCAAAGTTTTATCTCCATTTCCCGCTCTTATCTACCGAGTGATGTCTCCAGTTTTCCTAATAATGCTCCTACTGTAACATTGACTGTAAAACAACTGGGTTTATACAAAAATTCTCACTCCCTTTGCAATAAATCTTTACTCTGAGTGTACCGTGGTAGCAGCGTGAATATTGGATGCCAGTAAATACAGTATTTTGATGGTAAAATAACAGCAGATGTGAAAAGGAAGGAACCTGCTCAGTGTCAGGAATGCTTTCCCCTTCCCTCACCCACACATAACATCACTGGGCTGCTGACACCCTCCTCCAGTGCTGCTGGTTCAGGGTGGAAACATCACCAGTACACTCCAAGTCTTTATTATTTACTTGCTGATTTAAATCCCCACCCCAACCCACCTGGGTTTACTCCATCTTAATCCCCACCACCACCACCACCCCAAGTTTATTAATCAGTTTATTAAGTCAGTTGACACTGACTCAACCTGCTGAGGAATTAATAGGTTAATATTAGACTGCAGCTTCACACATGGCTTTTCCTCTGGTACCGACTGAGGCCTCAGGGGGGCCCACACTGTTCTTATCATGCATTTCTCTACATTCAGAGGCAAATATCATTCTTTTCACTTTACTTACATGTTTTTTATAGCTTTTGCTACTTTGTAGATTCATATTATTAATACAAAGCAATCAAAAACAACCTTTGATAAAACACAGTATATTAGGCTAATATTCTAACTTATTTGTACATTCTTACTTTTAGTCAAAGTTCTGAGCACTTCTTCCTTAATCTGTGTCAGCAAATCTCCACCTTTATTAAAAAAGCAAAGGTAACTATTTACTGCTGTGGACTGCAGTCAGAATTTGGATGTAAAACATACTTTATTACAAAACATTACTCCAGTGCCATGTGCAGAAGGTACCAGAAATACATAGAACCACTTGTTCTGATAAGAATAATCTTTCAGTGGAATGAAGCCAAAAAATTTCAGGTTGCATTAAAAACCAGCAAGACATGTTTAAAATATTTTTGAATCAATATCAACTTCACTAAAACAAATATATTATTATATATTATTATCAGTATCATATAATGATATGGCAGCTACATGCTAAAACAAGTAAGACTTACATACAACATAAAAAAACACAAAGAAAACCAGATAAAAGAAAGCAAAATCATTTTATTTTTCTTCTCAACGTGTACAAAATATTATCTTTCAAACAGAGCATGTACTGTATTACATATTGTAAACAATAAAAACAACCTGACAAGTTACAAGACTAAAAATAAAAAACATTAATCATATAATAAACAACCTATACAAATATTAATAACAGTGTGAAACTGAAGAGGCAAAGTACAGATATCTTGCTGCAGAGTGTACAACATTTTATGGAAACTATTGAAACAAGTGTTCTTCACTCGTAGCTATGAAGAGAAACTTATTTCACACTTGTAGAGGCTGACACTGTCCACTGTGTTTATACTGGATGTGTAGACTTAAAACACACACTCACACACACACACACTCACACACACACACACACACTTTGTAATTACTTACAGGTAGTTTAAACACTGAATCCTTCACATCCTTACACCCGACAGCAGCACCCCAGTCACACCATGATAAATTAGAGCCAAAGCCTGGTCCTGCCTCTAATGACTGGCTGGTAGCATATTGATTACAGTCCCACAGAGGGACATGAGCTCCTCTCCTGGACCGACTGTATCAGGGCTCCTCCTGGCCCCTTCCTCACTCTTCTCCACTAGACGTAGTTGGACTTGGGGATGGCGGTGGGCAGCAGGTGGTTGGAGCTTATGGACTGGGCTGCCTGGCGCTTTGAGCATCGCCGACAGCTCAAGAAAGCGCCACCGCCCATGGTGAGGAAGCCACCGAACCCGCTGACAAACACTGCCTTACCGAACTCTAAGCTGCCAAATAAATAAATATCAAAACAAACACATTTAGATGCATGTGTATGTTTACCAGATCGGTGTGTGTGCTTTTGACTGCTGTACCTCTGCAGACGATGGGTTTGTTGGGAACTGTTAACAATCATTTTCACATACCAGGAAGTGATGATGATGGTCAATAAACCTAAATAAAAAAAACACATCACATCATTCAACATCTAAAATAACTCCAAGACCCTACTGTTAGTACATCACTGAGGCTGCAGCTAACAACAATTTTCATAGTCTGTTTTAAATCATTTAATAATTTTATCCATTAAATGTAAGAAAACAGAGAAAAGACTGTTCAGACTTTCTTAAAGCCCAAGATGACAGTATCTGATTCCTTGTTTTGTCCAACCAGCACTTCAAAACTAATGATGCTGATTGTTTATCAGAATAATGGCAAATTCCTTTTCTGTTGTTCAACTAATCAACCATTCTAGCTCGGAAATATTTGTAATTATTAATATTCTTATTAAAAGAATGACTGCAAAATGTACAGGGATAAATATATAGAATTAATAAACAATAAAGGAGTAATGAGGGACTTGGTCTGAAAGTACCACCACTAAACAGACACAGTCTCAGCTGAGTTTGACACTGACTGTATACGTAAAGATGATGAATGGGAATATTACTAGTCCATCATATCTGAATTCCTTCTGAGTGCTAGTGAAAGCCTGTCAGGCTCTGCTGCTTCTGAACACACCTGAAGACATGAATAGGATTCCTCCGATCAGAGCTGCAAGGGACTTGCTTGAAGGCTTGGCATCCATGAAGTGGGTGCATTTCATTCCCACTATGGAGATCATCACTGCCACAGCAGAGAGCAAGATACTGAACAGCAGCACTGCTCTGGTAGCCTGGACCTCAGCTAGATGAGCAGAAAGGAGGAGGATGGTTCATTTGCAGAAACCTTCTCACTGATTCAGTCTCCTATTGTTGATCATAATCTCCGTTTCTAAGAGATGCTTATGTGACTAGTTTACATCCGCAAAGTCTTTATGGTTTATTGAAATTGTCAAGAGGAAAAGATAATAATAAAAACAAAGCAGAAATGACTATTATGATTCAACAAAATATATTGTGAGAAAACTGCCAGTAGATCCTGGTTAATGGTAGAGGCACTTGTGGCTAAGTATAGCAGCCTGTTGTCAGTGGAAGGTATCTCAACAAGCTGTGTCTGGTTTCTAAAGTAGGTGCAGATGAGATAAAACTTACGTGGCAGTTTCAAGACGGAGTCGTGAGGGTCGCAGGTTGTTCTCTCGTTGCCACTGCAGGTCATCCACAGGCCTTCATAGACGCGATGCGCTTTGCTCTGTGACTGCTTCTTCCACTGAACCATGAACGTAGCGGAGATAGTGGCAGCGAGACCGACCAGCGAGAGGATGAAACCGAGGAGCTGGAGTCCAGAGTTGGCCATCGCATCCAGACAGAGTAGATGAGTTTAACGAAGGAAAGAAGAACTTTTCCTGGAAATTGCCAAAGTGTTCGCTGAAGTCAGCAGTGACTTAGTTGACGTGAACTCTGCAGAAACGTCTCCTCGCACCTCTGCAGATCGTTAGATACGTGAGCTCTGCTGCAGCCTCTATTTAAAGCCTACGACGCGTGACGCACGAGGGTCTCCACCTGCAGGGGATGGAGGAGATGTTGTAACCCTTTATTTGACAGGTTCCGTACTTTACAGCAGATTCCCTGGAAACGTTACTCCCAATTTTTATCCCAGGGACAGGTATTTCCTATCCCTATTACACGGGGAAATCAGAAAGTCCGGTTTCGGTATCTGCTAGTTATTCTCGGATTTCTAAAGAAAAATGAGATCATACAGTAAGCCAAAGGCCAAACGACTGTGTTCTGTGGAACAGCAACAACTAAAATGTAGTTGAATCAACATCATACTGTTCAGGACATTCCAAGTAGTAAATATGCTGCAAAAATGAAAGTTGTACAGAGAAATAAACTTTGACCCACTTCTACACACTATGAAACCCACTTTCAAGTCTTCCTCTGGTCAAACAAACTTTGTTTAATCCATTTTGCTCATGAGGTTTTATCAGACTGATTAATAAATGATGTTAAATACAGAGTATTGCAGAAAGACACTAGAGAAGTTAGGCTGATTTTAAACTGATATGTAACTGTTACAGTAGGCTTACAGTCTATAAGTAAAACCTACAATCTAATGTCAACCCTCACAATTAATCTATTACAACTGAAGAAGCTGTCTGAAAAATGTACTTAAATCAACACATTCTGTTAACATACTAGTCCCCGTTTTTGCAAAGCGTTTCCCATGCATCCATCTACTCTCTGGGTACAATTACAGCTGCGCGAAAACCCCAAACAATACTATATGCACACATTTCTTCTCCAGTGGCATAAAAAAGTTGTTCACTGCAGGCTGTCCATCTGTCCGCACGTATCCGTCTGCCCGTCCTTCTTCAGGTTTGACACAAATGTCCAAGGATGAACTGATTAGATTTTGGTGCTCACAGGTCAATGGTCAAGGTTACCGTGACCTCAGCACCACAGCACACCACCACAAAGAACCGAGCACTGGCTACTAAAGATCTGCAGGAGCCTGTTGCACACAGCGAAGGATCAGAGTCTCCTCAGGAAAAATAGCCTGATCTGTCCCTTCCTGAGGAAGGCTTCAGTGATGTGAGTCCAGTCCAGTGCTTCATTGATTTGTACCCCAAGACACCTGTGGGAGCCCACCCTCTTCACTTCCTGTCTGTGGATGACAGCCAGCACCGGGGGCCTCCTGTTCCTCTGGAACTCCATCACAAGCTCATTGGTTTTGCCAATATTGAGCTCCAGGTCACCATCAATGCAGAGTGTGACAAAGCTCTCTATCAGTTCTCTGTACCCTACTGTAAACACAGTCTCTAAATGAAGATAGCACGTCTCTCACTAGAGTCATACATATCACTATAATGGGGGTCTTTACTGAGCTGATGTCAGACAAACACACACGAGGGAGCCAACTAGACATGTTCAGAACATGATCAGCACTCAGTTTTATTTTCATTTCACAGTTGCAAAAAGTGTTGCACAAAGAAATGTAGTTGTAATTTGGTTCAATCTTCAAATGCAATTTGCTGCATAGGAACATTATCACTGTATTTTCTTTAGCGTGATGTAATAAGTGTCCACCAGTACACAGTGAAATCAAATACACCAGTAACTAAGGAAGTCTTTCACACATCCCAGTGAAGATTAACACATGCGGTCATTCCTCAGCGACTTACAAGAAAATAAGTCTTTGTTTTATCTATACTACTACCAAATTATTTGACCATATTAGGTGAATGTGTTGCCATCTTATGGTTCGTCTATTAGATTAGATCAGTGTACATGCTGACATCTGAGTTCTCTTAAAGCAAACTGTTACATATCGTTCCCAGTTACAAGAATTTATTTATTTAATTCTTAACTTCCATTGTTTAATATCACCCTAGAGGTCTGCCAAGGTCAAGTTTTATTTCAACGGAGGAGCAGTGGCATGTTTGCAACCTGCAGGCAGCACAGGATGGGCAATGACAATATCAGGAAAAGAATACTGATTTTCCTATGACGCTCCCAAAGCTTTCATCAGTGTCTAACTTGTTTAAAATGCGCAACATGGACAACAGCAGACTTCCTGCTCTTCGGACTATGACCGGAGCACACGCAAACATGCCACCTTATTCATTCCCACTGCCTTCCGAAATGACTGTCATGGTGTGTGTGAATCAGCCTTGCTTCATTACTGACAGCTGCACCCTCCCCTCTACTGTGCAATGACTGATTCAACAATAAGATAATGATGGTTTGTGCTAGTACATGTTAATCAACAGGTGCTAGTGGGGGCTGTGTGTGCGTTTGTAAGGTTTGTGTGTGATGGCGTTTTTATTGTTCAATTAAAGTGTATAAAGAAGGGAACATGCACATATTACATTAAAGTCTACATATACAACATAAAATGCATGTTGTAGTTCATTATTGTGGCATGCAGGAGAAAATACATTATAACAGAGGGGGGCCTAGTTAAACCCAGATGGGGATTTATTATCATTTCTTCTACTTCACTGCTTTGTAATAAGGACAAGGTGAGAAATGGGTCTATATTTTGGAAAATGTGCTTCTAGCAGGCATGCTTGTCCACCACTGCAGCAGCTCATAACAAGTGTGCTGCAGTGGAAAGACATCATTTTGTCCAGTGCACAGCTACTGTGTGGAAGGCTTCATCTGAGAAGGGAAAACTACAGTATATGATATACGGAAAGTATTCAGACCCCCTTAAATTTTTCACTCTTTGTTATATTGCAGCCATATGCTAAAATCATTTAAGTTCATTTTTTTCCTCATTAATGTACACACAGCACCCCATATTGACAGAAAAACACAGAATGTTTGACATTTTTGCAGATTTATTAAAAAAGAAAAACTGAAATATCACATGGTCATAAGTATTCAGACCCTTTGCTCAGTATTTAGTAGAAGCACCCTTTTGAGCTAATACAGCCATGAGTCTTTTTGGGAATGATGCAACAAGTTTTTCACACCTGCATTTGGGGATCCTCTGCCATTCCTCCTTGCAGATCCTCTCCAGTGCTGTCAGGTTGGATGGTAAACGTTGGTCGTCATGTTTAACATGTCATTTTGCTTCAGTGGCATTTTGGTCTGTTTCACCCAGATAGATGAGTCGGTGTGAAAATGTGGGAAAGATGGTCAAAAATGTGATTTAATGTGCTTCTCTTAAAAGCAGTTGTAGGTTTGGTGGTTGAATAAAAATGGGAAGGAGAAAGCTGTGTGACCACACAAAGCAGTTTTGAGTTTTGAGATTCAGTAAATTTGCCACTTCCCCTTTTTTTAACTGTCTTCTTTTTTATGTGGTGTCAAATCTGTGAAAAAGAAAACATTTGTTTGTACATGACCCGGTTGTACTTTTCCTCAGATGCCTGGTAATATCTAACATCTTCAGAATGAATCTAAATGGTAAATCATAATAATGTGGTTTATGATGACATATGAGTGCACTTTTCAAAGTACTCTACATCAGGATATTTCATTCTGACTGACAAGATGTACTTAACATGTACTTACCAAACAAACAAAAACACTATCTTTATAATAATGACCCTCATCAGTCAAATTAAATATTCTTCATATTTTATATTAGAAAACCAGACAGGAAAATGTTGTTTTTACTGCGCCAACCAAACCAGTGCTTTCAGATGAAGACTTTTAAAGTGTAGGTGAAAACTAAAAATCGACAGTATGAATCTTTCATCACAGGAACTCACAGGAATTGCACATTAAATAGTTTATTATTGAAAGAAAAGTGGATGAATAAATCAATTATAAAACAAACACAAGTGAGAATACATGGAGGACTGCAGACTTAATCTAAACGATATCCGGGACTCACCGCTCAGCAGGGAGGGATTTCATTCATGAAGTGCTGGAGGAAGAAATGGGAGGATGTCTGACCTTCGCTCCCATACTTATGTCTGTGACAGGAGGGTGTCCCTGTGTTGTTGTCAGGCCGGTCCGTCAAGCAGTTACCACACTGAAAAAGGAAAGGTCCTGTGTAAGAACAGAAATCCTGAGTAAAGCCCCTTTCACAAGACATTTCACAAGCTCAACCAAGCCGGCAGAAAGTAACATAGAGGCACAGGGTTGATAAAGTCAGTGATAAAAGTGACTCTGGTGACAAAAATGTCAAAAATTCTGTGTTTTTCTGTCAATATGGGGTGCTGTGTGTACATTAATGAGGAAAAAAATGAACTTAAATGATTTTAGCATATGGCTGCAATATAACAAAGAGTGAAAAATTTAAGGGGGTCTGAATACTTTCCGTACCCACTGTATATGGTATAAAAATGATGTAAATGTAGTGGATGAAACACAGCAAATCTGGGAATCTGGTAATTATTATTTAAATTCTTTTCATTGTAAGGTATGTGGACTGTAACGTGTGGCTGCCGTGCCCTTTTCCCCAGTACTGTACCCCATACCCACCTAGTCTTTACAACAAACTTTTTACATCCTGAAAATATCCAGTTGTTGGTCCCTTGTTCCCTGCAGTCTCTGTTCCTCAGTTAAAATTGGCCAGTATTGGCTGTTAGTCTTCCTGGTTCATACAACTAAATAACATTTTAAATTGCAAGTGGTATTATAAAGTTTCCTGCAGGGACATATACTGAACTGTCATGTTTTTATTAAGTCCATAGTCACTGTATTTGTCAGTAACTGACCATTTCAGTTGAACAGTCACTACGCACAACAGTTTAACTGACACTGTTACGTCCACCATGTTGTCAGATATGTCGCCAGTTATTGAGAGGCATCTTTTAACTCCCCTAACACCTTTACGAGTGTAGTATCTGCTGTTTACCGCTAAGTAAGCCATTATGTTGGAAGTAATTATGTTCAATTAAGGTTTGGACTAACGGTGTTTGACTATTTCTACTCTTATGCTTGCTGACTTAACATGTGTGTTTACTAGAATATTGAATGTTGTACTTTCACAGTAGACAATGTTGATATTTTTCTAGTGATATTTTGTTTCTTCCTGGCATAAGAGACAATATGCAGTAGGTCTACCTACAGTGCTTTGACGGCTAATGCTACACTTTTATTAATCCCGTTTGCATGTTACTGTAAAAATTCAACACCTTTTGGTTCAGGTCTTGTGTGTGGAATCTTTTTTCTATTAATGGATTTATAATCACTATCTTTGCTTCTATTGCCCGGTCCTGTTTTCAGCCTAACAGCTGCATCCATTAAAGACTTTAATGGCTGATTCCTGTCTTGTTGAAGACAGGAAGACAGGAAGACAGGAAGAACGCACAAGCTCCACACAAAAAGGCAGGAGAGGCCCTGGGAGAACCCCCGACCTCCTTGGTAACCAGTGACCACTGCACTGGACTCCTATTTTTATTGTGTATGTGTTTGCATGCATCTAAAACCTGCACCCCGCTGAACTGTTAGGTAATGAAACAACCTGAGTTCACCATATAAACCAATAGTTTCTCATGTTTAATAAGATGAATTTTGCATTAATTTTTACAGGCAGAAATGTATTAAAAACCCGTCCTCACTTATGCAACTGTGCTCATAGTTTGAGTGAAAAATGATGAATTAGCTTTGTTAAGACACAGTTAGTCCTACTGAAGCCAGATGAATCAAAAAAAGTCTGACAACTTTGGACTTGCTCTGTGATACAGAAGATGATTAAATACATCCTCCAAACAACTGCACATCTCCTGTCTGATGTTAATATATGGACGGTACTTTGACACCACTGTGTCGTGGGTGTTAAAGGTTTCGCAATTTGCCACTAAAATGACAGTGAATTAAGCCTTCAAGCTTCCCTTTTAGCTGACAAAAAAAGCTGTTTGCCATGATCCTCTGAATAGAAATCACGTAGTGTCAAAGAGGTGTTAGCTTGTCTGTAACAGTAAGTATGACAGTTTTCATAGTATGATTCAAAACAGGGGAAGGTCATTGTATATGTCAGCCAAGATGGCTGTAGTGACTATGACACCTGATCAGAGGCTACACCCACTCACTAGATAGTCACATATAGTCAAGGTCTGTGATGAAAACATTTGGGAAAAACTCCAACACACTATGCAAAAATTATCTGATCTCTGCCCTCCAAAAACTGGTAGTAAACACAGTACTTCATTTTTATTCACCAGACTAGAAGTGTGGCTGTAGGGATGGAAACGTTCATTGGTTTTGTCCAGACTGAAATATCTGGATGGATAATAACTATGTGATATTCATGTTCCCCTCAGGATGAACTGTAGTAATTTGATCATCCCATACCTTTTTGTCCAGCATCACGATTTCTGTTCATTAATTTTCTACATCCTGTACCTGCAAATCACCAACATTCCCATCAGTGTTCCATGCTAATTAAGAAATGTTATACACATGATAGCACTGGGCCCAATTGCTGTCATGGCTGTAGTCTTGTTACACAAAGGAATTAATTTGATTTAGGTTTCACTTCCTGAATTGACAGAGGACAAACTCTGGTCAGTACAAAGACACCATTAACCATTCAATAACACTTTGTCTTTGGAAGGAAGCTTGCTATGTTATGTCTATGTTACTGAGGGTAAATGACAAAACCTTATCACACACACAAAGACGTTTCCTGAAATGAACCTCGCAGACAAAGAAAGAAGCACTTATTCCTCTTTATCAAATATGAGCAGGCTGAAATTGTTTCCTCCAACAAAATGTGTTTATAAAAGTGTTATATCACTATAAAAATATGAAAGTGTAAAATACTGTGTTTGAGAGGCACAGTGCAGGTTGTCTTTTCTCAAGAAGCTCTGGTTATGATGACTACAGTGTATTACATAACACTGACTGAGCTCTTCTGAAGAGTTCAGTGGCTATATAATACAGTTTGCTCCAGATTAAATACTGCAGTAGACAGTTTTCATGACTTAGTAAACAGCACATTGTGAGTATTTTACAGAAAAGCCAGGCTGTCGTCATAATTCACAAATAAAATGACTTTTCCTGCCACATGAGAAAAGGATCGAGGTCCTTCTCACTCCTTGACTTCTCAGGATTCAGTAAACATCATGGCTTCCTGCCAGCATTGCCTAAAGCTCTCAATCATGACACAAAAGGAGGAAGCACACATCGGGGAGGAGCCACAGTGTTACGTCAGTTCTGTGAATAGCAGAAAGCCACCAAAGATAATTACAGCAAAATATTTATTTAGCTGAGTTACTAAGTAGAGAGGACAGAACCAGAAGGACGCTGTGCTTTTCTACAGTATATGCTGCTTCATTTGCATACCCTGTATTGATGATGTTGTGACACTTGCAGAGCTATACTGCACTATTGTAGTATTTATTATATATAATGATATCTTCTAAAGTTTTTTACTTAATTTAATTGATTTTTCTTTGAACTACTGTGTGTGCTTTTAAATTGTCCCTAGGGGATAAATAGTTATTTGAATTGAACTGAAAAGAATATATGAATGTGACAAAAAGTTGAATTGTTCAGCACTTCAAAAATAATATATCCCATGTGTCAAAGGGGCCTGCAGCCAACAGTATGAGTAAGTCAACAAGCTTTTCAAATAGTGAGTAACTCTGAAATTGCTTCCCCCGGCTGCAAAAGATGTTAGGAGGATGCCATCTAGAGGCCTTAGCAAGAAAACCACCAAGAGCGGGGATCAACTGACACACAGAGACACATTAGGATCTCTAGGCTGACTTCAGTGTCATTGTAGTAGCATTTTATAGTCTGGATCCCAGTCACGGCTCTGTCCCTGCTCCCTGCAGGTTCAAGAGGATCTGCAGGTTGATACTGAGATTATAGTCTGACAAATATGATGTAATCACAGGGCAGTTTATAGAATTTACATGTATATAACGCTGGCGTGTAGTACCTATGCTAATGCAGACACAGTACCCATCAAACACGGCCAAAAACCTGCTGAGTCAGAACAGTGACTCAAACAATTTCACATAGAAAAGTTCTTTGAAACATTGCAGTTGTGTTATCTCACTCTCACTGTGCGATTTGGAAATTATAATATTATGCCATGCTATGGTCATAGCCAGCCACTGGTAGGACTGGGGACTGACTGCCAATAGGTCAGATTTGACATTAATGAAGGCTACTTCACCATTAGCAATTCAGTTAGCTACACCTGTGCTTTTCCTGCACAGTCACATGGCCTGTAGTGAGAAAAGTCTGGAGCTGTCTGGTTTTAAGAAGACAACATGACATGTTTGTGTGACATTCTGTATGTAGTTTATACAGTTGGCCTTGCATCTTTCTGTCTGACTTGTCCATGTGTCATTTTAGACACAGCCTATTTACTACTGTCTGTTTTTGATGCTTGCTGATGGGCATTTCATTCATTTAGTGCAGGTATTCATATGTTTTGCTACAGGAAGATTATTGAACTCACCAGATGGTAGGTGAATCTTAGTGACTTCTAAGGCAGAAGGAATGATGCGTGTGCATGGAAAGCACAAAAAAATGTAAAAATCACATAAGTGTTTTCCAAATCAATGCAATGAGCAAACTGAAAAAAAGGTGGCAGAGCTTCTTGTTCCCCCCCAGTTTGACTGCAGCTCAGTACAGTAGTGCACTCGGTGCTGCACCTAGTGGACGGAAGATGTCTACATGCCCAGCACCAGCTCTATCTATCTATCTATCTATCTATCTATCTATCTATCTATCTATCTATCTATCTATCTACCTAAACACAGATGTCTACTGTAAGACCAGACCCAACAGGCCTTTTTTTAACAGCAGACACTTTGATTTGTTGCAGCATGAAAAGCACAGGTTTTATTCAAGTGTGATACTGAGTCAGCACGAATAATATCAGGACCCTGGAACTGAAGCAGCGAAAGGCAATAATAAGAAAAAGCCAAGAAAACTGTCCCTAAGTTTTCTGATTTGCTGGCTATACAGTTTTTTTCTGAGATTACAATTATTCACCTTTATGAAAGCCCAGTGCAACATTCCTATATTAGTGTTCTGGGTGTTAATTATCATAAGAAATTTACAGTATATTGTTTATTGCATAGTGTATGATACACTTTCTGCTGTTAGTCATGTTATTCATACCAATCTCTCTAAATCTTTCTATGGCCACTTGCTTAAACTACAACTGCACCAGTTGATTAGTTGCATTTTGTCCTTTTGTGCAAGCTTAAACAAAGCGCTTCAGGGTTGCCCTGGCATGCATACAGGGGTGACTCCCTGCATAGATGGGTCTAGGTGTTTCTCCAAACCAGTCCGATGTCATTCCTGCATCGGGCACAGCACAGAGCACCTCAGGCCAAACGGCCTGCTTAGTTTTTACACCCCATGATGAGAATGTTTGCTTTTGCCCACAAGCCAGTCACCTTCAAACTTCAGAGTATGGCACTCCTTGCGGGCTATGGGAGTGTCAGTTTAAGTGAGCACGAACATTTGGAAGTGTTTTTTTTAGCCAGGGTAAATAAAAGAGTGAATAGATCAAATGACCATTTTGCATATGACTGCACATAAACATGCATGTCTGTCAGCGCTGCCTGATATTAAGTGATCTGAAATAACCATGTATTTTCTACTGACTCCTGTTAGACTATGAGCTCTTTGCTGTAAATGCAAGGTGTATGAACTTGAGTTTAGTGAGTAAAATAGTGGTTAGTTAGTGGTTTTGGAAAAGACAAGTGTCTGGCTGAAGAGGCAGCAATGCTGATGCAACCCTGCCAGTGTAGGATTAATAACCTGTCATACAAAGAGAGCATTTAGTGCATGAAATGTGCAGATTACAAAGCAAAACCACATATACAGTGTATGGTGTTTAAATAACTTGTGCATTTAACTGTTACATATTTGAGTGCATGTATCAGATCAGTTTGTTCTATGGTTTTCCCCTTTCAACTTAATGTTCTGGGTGTAACTAGCTGTAAAGATTCCTGTAGGGAAAAAGAAAGAGCTTTTCTGTGTTTGGGGTTGGATCAGTTTAGCGTCTGACTAAATAGTTCTCTGACTACCTCTACCGGTTTTTCCTGAAGATGCGCCCCAGGCCTTATCAGGCTGAGAGAGAGAGAGAGGGAGGGAGGGAGGGAGGGAGATAAAAACACACACAATGCATCGGATTAAAGATCACTGCTGCTTTTACTTAGAGGCTCATATCAAAGGGACTGGAGAGGTTTAAATGTTTCTCTCAGCTGGATTTACATTTTGAAAAAAAAAAAGACTAACCATGGACAGAGAGCAACTTACAGCATGGTGAAGATGATGGACATGCTCTCTCTCTTTCTCTCTAGTGGGTGGGTCTTCGTGTCTCAACACGGCGTGCTCCAATTGACAGCCAGTTGCTCTCACCTTTTACCTGCCAAGTAAGACATAGAAAAGCGTATAGTCCTCAGTGCTAACTGAATTCACCCAGTCAAGACGGCAGCTGGTTCATCGTTTTCTGGTCACTTGAATGATCGGATGGCGTTGGTCAGAACAGGTGAGTACAATTACCTGTAGATATATTGTCCTGTTCTGCAACACTGTTCACAAACATACACATTTGCTAGTTATGATGCATGTCACCATGTTCTTTTCGGTTTTCAGTGCAAACACCTGTTGTGGCTGTGACTCTCCTCTGCTCATAGTGATGAGTCAAATCTATCTGCTAATGAGTTTAAGCCTGAGCATGAATAAATATTTGCTTATACCTGTGAGCTTCTGTATTAGTTGTAGTTTATGATACAGCAGGTAGGAAGGACATTATCAAAGTGGTACTAAGGACACACATTTCCACCTGCACACAGTGACAATAAAAATGTTGTTATACTAAACAACTCTTGTTTCTCTTAACAGGACAGAATCCCTTCACAACAGCTGTTACCCGCACAGCTAGAAACTTTGCCTGGGAATTTCTGTGCTTAAAAATTTCAGTCATTGTTTCTGGTCGCGTGTGTAATGTGGAATCAAGACAAAACAGGTGGCGTTTTGGATGGATTTTGCTTGGAGACCATTAAGAGACTGAATGGTTTGAGGTTGAGGCGTAAAACCAAGTGCTGCTTGTGAAAAACATCTTAGGTTTGTCACAGTAATGCAGCTGCATTACCATTGTTGCATTTGATAGCATTTGTAAGAGCACCACTGCAAACTACAAGCTACCGGCCAGTTGCTGGTAGGCTTCATCTTTAACTTTCTTTTTAACACATCAGACATCCGAGCAGGGGTT